AAAATAGTAATTATTATTATTATTATTATTATTATTATTATTATTATTATTATTATTATTATTATTATTATCAAGGGGAAATATGACAAAGTAAAAAAGGGGGTGAAATTGAAAATTGTGCATGTTAAATAACTTATACATGATATATATGTATACATGTATTCAGAATTCTATTACACTATTTTACAATATTACACAAATCTTAATAGTATATGACTGTTTTGGACATGAAGTTAAAATGGTGAATTTTATTTTTATATATAGTATATATTATTGTGATAACCTATGAGAATGTCGTAAGTCTCTTCCAACTTTATTAGAAGTTTTGAATTTAAGTCCTTTAGTCTCAATGTAAGGTCTTAATTGAGTTATTGATAAAACTTGTGGTGAGTCGAATAAACTATCAATAAATTACTATAATACGGAGTAACAACTAACCTATTAAAAAAAAAAAAATCTTTTGTGAGGACAATTTCAACCAAGTTGGTCAGACTATTAACTTGGTAAGTTTACCTCATTGTGGTCCTTTATCGGGTAGGGTTACAAGGTAATGTTTACCCCGTATACACGCTCGTGTAATGGTTTCGAACATGTATTTTCATTCAAAATTACAAATTAAGGACATCAGTTAATATAATGATTTTTATTACTGTTAATTCAAAACATATAAAGGGAAAAAAAAAAAAAAAAAACAAAACAAAACAAAAACAAAACGAAGGGGGAAATGATTTTTTTTTTCCTCCATACTCATTATAGATTTTTCTACTCACACTATATAAATGACCCAATGGATCCAATATTGTATGGTCCTTTTCAATAAATGATTAATCATAATGAGTGGCCACAAATTAGTAATATTCCACCTTCTTAAGGCCTACCACCTCACCCACCAATCGTTTTATCCTACACCACGGCGCACATAGCATTGTGCGCCGCGCGCCTCCCAAAACGACGTCGTTTTGGGGTAGTGTTGGGAGGCGCGGTAAGAAGTTGCTGAGATTATGTGTATTTGTTCACAACGTTATGTGTATTTGTTCACAACGTTATGTGTATTGGTTCATACAGTTATGTGTATTTTTTATACAATTATGTACATCCGAATCAGAAATTTTGTGTGTATTATGTTAAGAGTTGATGTGTATTATGTTAAAAGTTTATGTTTATTATGTATTATGTTAGATTATGTGTATTATCTTTTAAAAAGAGTATGTATATTTTGTTATATAATTATGTACATTCGTGTATAACATTATGTGTATTCTAGTATAACATTATGTACATTCTTGAACAGTGGGGTTTTTTTTAAAGAAAAAACTACTGCCATTCACTGGGGCGGGAAATTTCAAAAATAAAAAATAAAATTAAAACAACGTCATTTTGCATCTGGGCGCATAGTGCAACGCGCACCGTGGTGTAGGATATAAATTGCCCTCACCCACACGTTAATCTTCTTCTTTCAATAGGGAGTAGCCCGGTTGCGTGGGGGTCACCATCCAACCTAAGAAATAATTAGAAAAAAATTAAGAAAAAAAATGTTGACAATTAAGCTATAACAAATTAAGAAATAGATGTAACATTTAAATCATTAGATGGACCCATTAAATGATAGGTGGTTAGTTTGAGTGATTAAGTAGGGTGTGTAGAGTTGTTATAAGTTTTATAAAAAGAGTTTACGTGATGATTATAATGAATTCATTTGTTTAATAGTGAATACATAGTTGTTTATTATTGACATTTTCGGATAAAGAACTTATTCAGTTGAAGATTGATTCTCTGAGTAAGCTATTTAAATTGTTATAAGTCTTTGAAAAGAGTTTAGATGATGATTATAAAGAATTTCTTTGTTTTCTCGTAGAAATTGTCTATTAGTGACATTCTTGACCGAAAAACCTATTCAATTGAGGATTGGTTATGAGTTAGCTATTTAAGTTGTTATAAGACTTTTGAAAAGAGTTTAGATGACGGTTATAATGAACTTCGTTCTTTGTTTTATTGTGGATAATTGTCTATTAGTGACATTCTCAAACTAAAAATCCTACTTGGTTGAGAATCGATTCTCGAGTTAGCTAGTTAATTAAGTTGTTATAGGTCTTTTGAAAATAGTTTAGGCGACAATTATAATGAACTCTTTTGTCTTTCATGTGAATATTGTTTATTAGTAATATTCTTGAACAAGAAATTTGCTCCGTGGAGGATTAATACTTGAGTCATCTCCCTCCTACTTTTCTTGTAAACTGTCTTTTTTCGTAATTTAATGCATTAGGTTTAAGTCTTAAAAAAAAAAAACTTGAGTCATCTCTCATCGCCAACCAATACTCATATAACATTAGTTAGTATTTGTAGACACGAATTGAATAGAAGCAGATTCATAAATTTTCTTCAATGAAGATAAAAAATAAAAATATTTATGATAAAATATAAAATAATGGTTGAAATAAAATTTTCACCATCTCTATTAATATGATTTACACACACACCACTTTCATAAATTTAATATTTTAATTTTAAAGAAAATAACTAAATAAATCCTTACTAATTAAAAAGCAAATTTCATTTAATTTATTATTATCAAGCATGATTTATAATGTTTTGTTTATTTTATTATTTTAATATAATTTCTACATATATTTGATAAACATTACCATTAACAAAATAGAATAAAAGATAGAGAAAATTTCAATTTTGGTCATATGACTATAGGGGCTTTGTTAATTTCAGCATCTAACTTTTAAAAGTGTTAATTTAGTACATTGAGTATGTAATTTTTGTCAATTTTTGTCACTCCGGTCAAATTGCCAGCCAAATTTCGCTAGAAAATTTTAATAGTTGAAATAATTAAGGTATTTTAGTCATTTCACGCTTCTTTTCTTCTTCTCTGGCGAGTCTACCATGTCACCTGAAAAAAATTCTCCGGCGAACTTGAGGAAGTCATGGTACCGATACCAACTGCTTGTGCGTACGAGGCCAGTGCGCCATCGAAAACCCACAAAGCTCATCGGACCAATATTAAAAACATATGGGAGAAATAAATCTACTGATAAACACTCACCGGAGATAAAAAAGAAATCTTCCAGCCAAAATCAGTTTCTAGTCCGTTTGAATGCTTCCACATCAGCGAATGCATCACCAACTTTAGTTAACACATAAACAGACAAATTTCAAAAGTCTAATGAATTTGCAAAGGGCAAATCATTTGTGTTCATCCAAACCGAATCCGTGAAATTATTCATTTATCGGAAGTGGATGAACGGAAAGAAAGAGCAAAATGTGGTGTGGAGCTCTAGATTTGGTGTTCCATCGCGCTGAAAAGATGGTCTCGTCGGAGAAGAATAAAAGGGGAGTGAAATGACTATAATACTTTCATTATTTTACTTATTAATATTTTTCAGCGAAATTTAGTCGGCAATTTAACCGGAGTGACCAAAAGTCCAAAATTGACAAAAATTACATACTCAATGTACTAAATTGACATTTTTAAAAATTAGATGTTGAAATTTACAAAATCCCTATAATCATATAACCAAAATTGAAATTTTCTCATATAAGATATCATGTATGCAACTATACATGTGTATGTATGGTAATAACAATATAATTAAAGGATAATGAAAGTCATAATCAGTAGAATATTCAATATAGTACATCTTTTATAATATATTGTATAAAAAAACATAAATAAAGGATACTAATATTCATTCTCTCGTATAAAATGTTTATTTATAGATGGATTAGATTATATTCAAATTTGCCAAGCACCTTGTGCTCAGATGACATGTAGTGACCTCTCCCATGTGGGAACTCATGAGATCGAGCCTCAGTGGAGGCGTTGTTGACTCTTTGTGCTTCATTAGGTTGAGAAAGTATATTTGAACAGATTCTACAATGTAATAGAGTTAGTAGCATTCAAAAAAGATTATATTCAAATTCATCATTTTTTCTTAAATCGGATCATAATCTTGTTAGATTAGACCCATGGCTTGATTTTAGGGTGTGCAAGATGGGTAATAGCACATGACATCAATTTTTAGAGAGTTCAATATTTATTTTTGACCTAACTACTTAAGAAATTTTTTAAAAAATCTACCATTAATTCTAAAACTCATCAGTTTTATCCCAAATCGATAACTTTTCTCTCTTAATAATTAGAACCTAATTAATTGAACATGACAAAATCATTCTGTTTTCCTTCTCCCAAATCCATTATGTTTTCCTAACGGCATAGATGATGTCTCAAGTCCTGAATCTGCAGAGATAACTTGAAACTTGTACCATTCACCATGCACCATTAACCATTAAAGATTGCGTTTATACTTTTGGTAGGACCTCATTTATTTATATTTATAAGAATGGGGTCACAAAAATCCAAAAACCGACCCTAAAGACCTGATATAATTTTCATTTTCCTGAAAGTCCGTAGTTGTTATTCTAAAGTACACAACTCTCCTAAAGAGTTGAACTTGAAATTTTGTGATTATCAAGTTAACTATATATTTGCTCAACTTAACTCGTTATCCGACTTGATATAATTGAACTATAACAAACAAAATTGTATATTATTTTCTTAATAACATTGCAACTTGCTAAACACCTATGCTCAGATGGCATGTAGTGACTTCTCCCATGTTGAAGGTTATGAAATCGAGACGAGTCAATAACATTCAAAAAAAATAACGTAATTGGTACCCGTAAAGCTCGGGCTTTTGAGTTTGGATTTGTGGGTTTGATAAGATGTTTTGATAGCGGGCCGGGTTGAATGAAAATAGCCCAATATAGTCAGTCTACCAGCTAGCTTAGCTGCTGCGAATTGAAATGGGAATGGGACTACTGACAGAAAAGATGGAGAAGGGAAAAATAAGCAACCATGATCACACAGTCATATCCTCTTGAGGATGAGATAAGATTAACGAGGGCCTCCCACGTGGCACCCCCCTTTGTGGTGGCTTAATTATATCAATACATTTTTGCCCTGATGTGGATATTTAGGATTGTAATGTCATGCACCACATAAATCCAATGGCCCTGCTTCCTCAAAGATTAGGTTGATTCAACGTCGCCCGTTAGATTGGACTCATGTGACACCTTATCGTTATATATACCAACCAATACCACCCTATCACCACCATTACAAAGTAACAAGTACTCAGTGCAGCACAGGCAGCTAGCAATGGCCTCCTCAGTCCTCTCCTCCACCGCCATCGCCTCCCGCGCCACCGCTGCCCAAGCCAGCATGGTCGCCCCCTTCACCGGCCTCAAGTCCACCGCCTCCTTCCCCGTCACCAAGAAGTCCGCCGCCGACTTTACTTCCATCTCCACCAACGGTAGCCGAGTACAATGCATGCAGGTATACTAATATATATACACTTAAGTGAACTTTAACTGTTACTGTATGATGGTGTGTACTGAGTTAACTATGCCGTATATATATGTGAGTTCAGGTGTGGCCCCCATTCGGGTTGAAGAAGTTCGAGACCCTGTCATACCTGCCTCCCTTGAGCACCGAGCAATTGCTCAAACAAGTGGAGTACCTTTTGAACAAGGGATGGGTTCCTTGCTTGGAATTCGAGACCGAGGTCAAAATCAACTACTACTACTCTATTATTTAATTTAATTTGATTTAGTGTAAACTTTTAGTTTTGATGGGTCGGGGTGCAGAAAGGATTCGTGTACCGTGAATGGCACGCTTCACCCGGGTACTATGACGGAAGATACTGGACCATGTGGAAGCTGCCCATGTTCGGGTGCACCGACGCGACTCAGGTGGTTGCGGAGCTGGAGGAGTGCAAGAAGGCTTACCCTGGTGCGTGGGTTAGAATCCTGGGATTCGACAACAAGCGCCAAGTGCAGTGCATCATGTTCATTGCATACAAGCCCGATGATAAATAGATTCCATCCCCCAATTTCCTTAAATGATGGATGATTTCCCATTAATCTTGTCTTTTGTTTTTCGATTTCGGTCACATGTTGTTGTTGGCATGGAATGGATTCCCAATCCAGTTTATGAGAATGTAATATTGTAATAATCCTTTGAATTTGCTGTTGTTTCATTTGGTTGTGCAATGTTCCTTCAATTCTCTTAGCTTGTATGTTCCAATTCATCACTCCTTATCTTATCTCTAACCACAACCTAGGACATACTTCAATTCATATTGACCACATGTTTCTTATCGTCAACATGGGTCCTTCAATTCCACTTCACACAAATATTATCTCCAAACTCCTCACAACCACTTCTAATTAAACTTACCCAGGCCACCACAAATACTATTATTTCCCTTGTGCCCACACCAGCATTTTGCCCTTTCTGTTGAGTCACTGTGATTTACTTCTCAAATGCACTGTCGGACTGAGGTGTGGGAGTTGTTGAAGTTGAGAATTTAACATTTTGGGAGAAGAATAACACAAGTATACTAGTGTTATAGTATCGGTGGTTATATATTTTGTGACATTCCAAAATATCTTAGCTAGCAAATGTGATAAAAAGTCTTCTATGAGGCATGCATCAAAATATCTTAGCCAAGTTAGTTCTCTTTGTTCAAAAAAGATAATATTGTTTAATGATTACACACTATTCAATAAAAAGTGAGAAAATGCCAAGAGTAGTCTACAGGCAAATTTCCAAATACAGAATGGAGCATGGCAGAGGTTGGTTAAATTGGTAAGTGAACCGTTAATATAATTATAGGACAATCTGAATTACTGTTAAAGTATTAATACAATTATAGGATAATCAAAATTAATGTTTAATTACGGCCGGATGTTACATTGTGGGCTAGATCACAAGATTGAGAAATTTAGGCTGCAAAAAATGATAATATAGAGACAATTAAGTAGTAAATTGTGTGCCGCAGGTTGTTAGATCTTGGGTATCCAAAGATGTCGCCATGAAATCGTAATGATGGCCACATTTGTGGCGGAGTTCGACCGCCTTATACGTATCATAGACGATTTGGTTTAATTTCTCTGATATTTTGTGTACGTATTTCTTCTCGATTATTTTATTAAATTTTGGAGCACAAGAATACAAAAAGATATAATGGACATGTTATCGTTTTTGATCAGATCGAATGGCTACGGGTTTAAGAGCCACAACTTCATCATCTTCATATATTCCACAGCAGCCATGGCATGCATGGCCATCAGCATTCAAATTCAAATTCACACATATCATTCTTCTCAACATTGAATACCCAAATTCAAAATTCAAAAAATAGGGCTAGCGGGCATCTATCCATGCATGCATGCAGGAATTTTGGGTGTAGATTACAGAATTATTGGCCATTGCATGCAGGTGGTAACCATATGTCCATATATATATATATATATATATATATATATATATATATATATATATATATATATATATATGCATGGGAATTGAAGAATATAATGGGAGCTAGAGATGTTCTCGAACGTGATGAGGTTAGTTTAATTTAATCGAAACTTGGTTGAATTTTAGGTGCTGATTTTATGATTGGAGACAACGACAGACTAACATAATAGTTCAGAGTGAATAATTAAAAATCATTTAAGGACAGTAAGAATGTGTATTTGCTTTGTATGAACAAAGTTACGTTGCCAAATGCCAACCCTTGACACATCATTTTTGAAGGCTTATATATAGAACATTCAATACCCTCAACTAAATTAAAATAGAAAACAAAAATCTCTTCAATCTTCTAACTGATTACAAATTTATAGTCCTTTCAAAAAAAAATTGATATACAATTGTTAAACATGGTAAATAATCTCTTAAAACATGACAATATATCACCAAATAATAAACCACATCTTGAGATTTTGGGTTGATTGCTTCGAACTTCGTTGAGGAATATAGGCTAACCGAGGACGATTATCATAAAATAGTTAATACTTTTTTTTTTTTCCGTTTGTTTTTGTTCTCACAAAGGAGTTCATTTGCCACTTGAGTTATCCCTTTGAATTACGTACAATTAAGGGTGTGTTAATTTGGTTCATTCATAGGTTTAGCTATTAAGAATGTGAATCAAAGTCATTATTATTGTTTGGTCGACAGAACGGTTTCTAGAACACTACTATGAGATTTGATTATCTCCTTAATTAGAAAATTTATTCCCTAATAAAATAAGAGTTTTATTCTATTAATTTCACTCCTAATTGGTAATTTGATTTTTTTAGTTTGGATGAGTGCTTTTAGATTTTTATTTTTATTTTTTGTTCATATTGGTGCTTTGAGTCTTTATATTATAATAAATTGTCTTGATTTTTTGTTTTGTATTTTTAAAACCTTATAGGATCATACATAACTAAACAACAATATAAGTAATCATTCCAATTCCACCATACTACCAAATATGCAAAATACTTTCACCAAAACCCATTACTATTACCAAGTATTTGATTTCCATTCCGATTTCGATTCTCATGTGCGAAACAAACACATCCCAATATTGTACTTAATTAGCTCACCACTATGATGGCAATTTTAAAATATAATCCTTCTTAACAAATAATTTTATCACATTTTTACTCTCATTAATAGCAACCAATTGGGAACATTAATTAAGGAATAATTAAAAAAAATTTGCTTAGCTGTTAACCACGTGGTTGCGGTTAAATGAGTTAGTAATTAATTAATTATTAAAACTTCATGAAATAAATGCTTATTATGAATTGTGCATTGCTTGTTTGGCCACTTCAGCAATTAACCTTAATTATTAATCTTGTTTTGCGTTTGCCGTTACGTCACGACGAGTCACCACGTTAAACTTTGATTTTTCTCCTACCTTCCACATGCGACCTTAGCATCTCACGTTAGAAATCACAAGCAACCAAACAGGAAATTCCAAAATCTATCCACTACTCTTATCTCCTTATTATTACTTTGACACCACTTATTTGTTTCTTTCAATTTCAACCCAATATATAAATTAAAACAAATTTTTTAAATAACTCCTGTGTTCTCAGCTTTGCTAGCTCAATTTAATATTGATACTCAACACCAAATAGTATACTAATTAAAACCGATTCTTACCAATTGTGAAAGTGTAACAAGTGAAGCTCTTCTCGTGACTTGAACTAATGAAAAAGTTCATAGTCTCAACTCAAAGTATATTCGGGATGAAATCCTTTTGCGATTCTAATTGGCGGGGAAAGCCCACCACCACTATCTAAGATGTGCTATGGGTGAAGTTCCCTTTGTGACATTAGTCAGCAAAAGACTACAACTGACTGAATATTAATAAGGTGCTCTCATAGACAATAAAATTTAAAATTTTATGGTTATCAGTTGTTCTCACAAATCATTAAACTTAAAATTTTATAAATATCAAATTAATTGACTGACTAACTTAGCTAGATATATGGACTTTCATTCTCTACTTTTTCACTCTTACTTTTTTTATAAATAATGATAAGGTATTTTTATTGGGTAAATTTTGTTTGCATTCTAAGAGGGACAGGGATGGCCTATTTATGGCAAAATAATGGTTTACTGCAACTGAACAGTATTTAATGCACGTCCTCCCAGAAAGAAGAAAAGTATTACCTTTACCAAGTTAAAGAGGAGAGGTAAACCCATAGACTTTGAAGCCTTGAAGGCCAACACCCAATAGATGGTAAGCACACCACGGCAGAACAGAAAGAACCCAATACCTGAACACCACCTTTTTTCTGCAGAGTATATTCTCTATGCTTGCTTCTTTCCTCCATTATTTCATTACCCATAACATAAGTTCAGGTGTTCTGAAAAAAGATCCGATTTTTTGTTCCGGTACGTATTACATAGGATTCGAGGGTACTAGGAAGGTGGTCTGCTCCGCGGGTGTGAGAGCTGTAATGGGGAAGCCTCCGAAGTTCCCGGGTGTGAGCGAGGAGGTGCAGAAGCTTCTGGATGCGGACATGGACTCTGTAGATGCAAGGCGCCGCGCGCGCGAGGCGTTTAAGGATGTCCAGCTCTCAATAGATCATTGCTTGTTCAAGGTATATCGCAAGTTTGCACCCAACATTTCTTTCTTTCTGGGATTTTGATGTGGTTGGGTTATGTTCTTGGTTCAAAGATTGGATTTTTTCCCCCTTTTGAGTGAACTGATTGCCACCGCTGTTGATTTGAACTGTGGGTACTGGGTAGCCTCTGTTTCAGCTAGAGTTTATTTACAATGGGATCTTGTTGAAACAGCAAATGGATAATTCAGTGGTTTGAATCGAGATCCGTGTTCTTGTAAAACTAGAGACTAGAGTACCACTTTTTGGGTCATTTATGAACTTTTGCTTTTCCACCCTTTGTATGAATCAATCATCTGCAAATTTCAGGGACTGCCAAATATATTACCATCAAACATGGTTTATTTTTAACTGCATATCCCTTCAATTGTCATTTAAATCTGTTGATTTTTTGGGTTTTGCAGGTGCCTCATGCCGAGTTAAAGATGGAGGAGGTAAAACATTTACCATAAGGACATGTTTCATGTTTGTCTCACCTATTGATCTGTTGGTTGAACTTTTATCTTATGTCGCCATTTTGCTTATTTCATTGAAGTGGAAGTTCTGAAAGTTATCCATGGTTTCTAGCATCCTCTTATCAACAGTTTGACAATGTTTTTTCGTGCATACTTCCTATGACATATACTCGAAACGTGGGATTGGCTATTGTGATCTTTGGCAGTCATACGAGAAAAATTCTAGAGGGCTGGAGATTTTCTCCAAAAGTTGGTTCCCGGCAACAAGTCCTGCCAAAGCACTCATTTGTATCTGTCATGGTTATGGAGATACTTGCACATTTTTTATTGAAGGCATGTAGCTTGTGAAAGCATTAGAAGTTCCAGTATTCGATTTAAGGGGCATTTCAAAGTTTAAAAAAGAAATTTGGGATTCCTTGTAGGCATTGCCAGGAAGCTGGCATCTTCTGGTTATGGAGTATCTGCCATGGATTATCCTGGATTTGGTCTTTCAGAAGGTCTTCATTGCTATATACCTAGTTTCGACAACCTGGTTGATGATGTCATTGAGCATTACTCAAAAGTTAAAGGTACATCCAAGTCTTTAATTTAAACCTAATTAGTTCATCGTTTTCTGGATTGCATCTATTTCGGGTTTGAGTACTGGGAATGATTGAATGTTTTTTTATATAAGAGCTGTGTTCTTGTGTTCCTAGTAAATTTATGTTTGGTGAAATTAATAAATGTGAGTAAAGAAAAACACATCAGCTAACTCATTCCCTAGTATCTGTCAAATACTCAAATTATTAATCGAACTTTTGTTTTCCCTAACAAGTCTGGTACTAAAACTTTTTGTTAAATTGCACTTTTTTTTTTTTGGGTAAAAAATGTTGCAGAAAAGCCAGAGTTGCGCGGGCTGCCAAGCTTCCTCTTTGGGCAATCCATGGGCGGAGCAGTTGCTCTGAAGGTTCACCTGAAGCAACCCGATGCATGGAATGGGGCGGTTCTGGTTGCACCTATGTGCAAAGTAAGTTTCAGATTACGGTTCTTAGTCCCGATACATCTCTTGCCCACGTTTTTATGCAAGAACCGGATGACTGATTGATTGGTTACTTCCAATATAGATTGCAGATGACATGGCTCCACCGTGGTTATTGACACAAATCCTTATCGTGGTGGCGAAATTTCTTCCAAAACAGAAGCTAGTTCCGCAAAAGGATTTGGCTGAGTTAGCATTCAAAGACACAAAGAAGAGAGAACAGGTAAAAGTTCTTCCCTTTCTTTAAGAGAATGATATGATAGGCTTTCCGGCCAGGACAAAGCAGATTATGAAGGTTGCAAAGAACAATGTGTTATTTATGGATGGTGATTGATACATTTCTGGAATATGAACTGATTTATCTGTTGAATATGCAGACTAACTATAATGTCATTGGCTATAGACATAAACCGCGCTTAGGGACTGCCCTGGAACTACTTAAGACTACTCAGGAGATAGAGCGATTGTTAGAAAAGGTATGCCAATAGTTTCGACTTCTACTTTATTCCATTGCTGAGAGCTTAACCACCCACATATAACAACTGTTAGTTACTGCTTAGCTTCTTACACTGCTATCACATTCTCTGTACTTACTAAGTAAGAGTGCTAGGAGGTCAAGGACAACCCCACCAAGTCGGTTGGGTTGTTGGCTTGGTAGTTTTAAATTTGACTCTCAGTGAGAACGGCATGTTGGACTTCTTGGCTTGACCCAATCAGCTATGGCAATCTAGGCTGGTTTACTTCCTTGTGGTCATTTTCAAGTTAGGGTCATAAGGCGTGATTTACTCGGTGCACATTCTCCGGTAGTTACTGCGGGTTTTTTCCAGCCTCAAAAAGTCAATATGTGCTTGAAGCCCCAGCGGCCTAACAAGTAACAAGTAGAGATTGTCTCGTCCCCGAATAGAGAAAATTTTAGAGGAATGTGGATGGGAATGGGAAATGTGTGTAATTCCTAGTCGAGGACGGAGACGGGGTTGGAGATACCCTCCCTGAATAATTATATATAATGCTTAGGTATTTTAATTTTTGAATAGGACTTAGGTTTTCATTTTTTATATTTTATTTTTAAAAATACTAATTTGACTAGGGGTTGACTGGGGAACTTTTCCAATCCCCACTGGGGATAGGGACGGGGGACGGTGGGTTGCCATTCCTACTAACAAGTTCCACACGTCCATTGCTTGATTTTGAGTCATATTGCTATTCGAAGTAACAAAATTCTTGAATTGCTGCAGCTGACTGCAAGTAGTTTGTGTTTTAGAGTTGCTTCAATGCTTATTATTTGTATATATTATGCTCAACGGAGATGATTTTGCAGGTGTCTCTGCCATTACTTATTCTGCATGGAAAGAATGATGTAGTGACTGATCCATCAGTAAGCAAAGCATTGTATGAGAAGGCAAGCAGCCATGACAAGAAACTAAACCTTTATGATGAGGCTTGGCATGCCCTTTTGGAAGGTGAACCAGATGAGATGATTCACAGAGTTCTTGGTGACATCATTTCTTGGCTTGATGATCATAGTGCCCATTGACCCTTCTCTCTCTCTCTGCTCACACCTTCAAACAAGTTTTACATGTCACTCACCCAGAGCCCACATTTGGATAGTTACGGCTTACTTATAAATCAAAGGTTTATGTGTCATTGTAAAATCTGTTGTAACTTGTATGCAATTTTATTCATAATCAATAAAACAGCTTTTCATTTAAAGACTAATAAGATTTTTTTTTTTTTTTTTTTTTTAAGATTCAAATGTTATGTTATATGTTTATCATGTTCGTATGCTATGATAATTGTTTTTACGTACTATGCTATTACATCATTACATCTTATACGTATTCCTTATATATGTTTATTTGTGCATGACAGCATGAGCCTTATAGTATACTAGTGTTTGACCCGTGCGATGCACGGGATGTAAATTACATAAACATTAATTATGTTTATGTTATGTTAAAAATTGGTTGAAGCAATACAGTAAGAATTTGGTATATGTAATCATTCATTATATTTGGGAGATCAACAAAAACCATCTCAAAATGGTATGTTAGAAATAGTATAAAGGTGATGGTAATATAAAAATAATACATTAGAAAACTACAAATTATTGAAAACTTCATGATATACAACATTAGTGGTTGAGGTTGTAGTTGAACTTGAGTCTTTTGCTATCAATATTTTGAGACCGTCTGGATTATTAACCCGAGATGCAGCTACGTACAACTGACCGTGTACAAAAACCGGTTTCTTTAGTACTAAACCTACATGGGTCAACGTTTGGCCTTGACTTTTGTTTATGGTCATCGCATATGAAAGCATCAATGAGAATTGCCTTCGTTGAAACTTGAACGGCAATCTTGGATCCGAGGGTGCCATTGACATTCGGGGGATTAACACTTTTGTACCTTTGTTGGGACCAGTCAGGATCTCGCCTTCAATCACATGATCTGCTAGCTTTGTGATTATCAACCGAGTTCCATTGCACAAACCAAGTGAATGGTCAATATTTCTCATTAACATTACCGGTGATCCGATTTTCAAGGTCAGTGTATGATTTGGTAGACCTGAAACCCGAATGCTATTTAGAAACTCCGGTGTGTGTACGTCTCCAAATATACCGTTATCGCCATCGGCTTTGCATACTGCGTCTGAACTATAGTATGACCTACTTTCGGCATTGTGCAACTCAGTCATATATTCATTAACAGCGTTGACAACGTCGAGCGTCGGTGCTAATATGGCACGACCCAACAGGTGCTCGGGGTCAGTGTTCCCACTTGCAAACATAGGAAATGTACTGTGCACAATTGCTTTAATGTTGTCCCCCCCGGATGATACTAACATGTGCGTTGGTATTTCAATTTCTGCAAACCCGTTATTCTGGCCACCAAGCTTCCCATCGCCAATATTGGCAATCCAGTCAGCAAACTCTTGTAACGCATGCCGGTTTCCACCATTTGGTACCGAGCTGAGCCTAAGGTTTTTAGTCAACCTTAAGACTTTGCAAGTATCCCATAGGTATGATGAATTAATCGCTGAAGAAACAATGTCTTGCCGTGTACCTTTGGGAACTACTGGAAGAATTTGACGAAAATCTCCACCCAATACAACTGTTTTACCACCAAACGTCTTCATTTCACTATTAGGTTCTACAAAACGCAACAAATCCCGCATGGTTCTATCTAAAGCTTCAAAGCAATGTTTATGCATCATGGGAGCTTCATCCCAAATTATCAAGCTCGTCTTGATCAGCAACTCAGCCAGGTCGCTACCTTGCTTAATGTTACAGGTAGAGTCCTCATTTATTGCAATAGGTATTGCAAATCTCGAGTGTGCAGTCCGGCCACCTGGTAACAACAAAGAAGCTATGCCACTTGAAGCGACATTTAAAACGATTTGTCCTTTGCATCTGACTGCAGCTGATAACGCTCTCCATAGGAAAGTCTTTCCTGTTCCACCATAACCATAAACAAAAAATAAGCCACCCTTCTTGTTCTCAATATCTTTGATAACAGTATCATATATGAGACCCTGTTCTTCAGTTAGTTTGGCACAAAGGACCTCAGAATCTGCCTTCAACTGTTCCGAATCGTACGACAACTCTTCAAAAACCAATCGATTTTGAAACAAACGTGAATTATCAGTACTTGGTATTGGCATCGGGGGGTAGTCTTTTAAAGACTTGTTTTGTTGACCCAACAGGTTTTCCAGTTCAATTAATGCAAAGTTCTTTTTCTCTTCCTCTGTTAAGACCAAATATGTTAAAGTAACACAACCAAATTAGTTATAACTATAATCTAGTAAAAATGTTGAAACTTTTATTGTATACTAAAGAAGTAACATTACCTTGTTGTTTTAATACTCTCCTTTGATAATGTTGAGCATCTTCAGACAAATGTTCCCACACTTGATTCCAAACATTTTCGGGTCTAATAATTGATGATGATGTTAGTAAGACAACAAATAGCTTCCTCAATGAATGCGCACTTGACCAATAACTTGCTTCATTTATAGCATCAATGTACTCCTTATCATCGTCTAACAATCCATGAGCATAACACGCATCTCTAAAGGTTAAGTACTCAACACTGTTAACTGTCCTAATATCTTTGTAACTTGTCGGACCACGGACTATGTTCAATAGACACCTCAAATAATATATTTCGCCTGAAGCTGGAGGCACATAGAATATTCTACCAATTGAGGAACCCTTCTTTCTTGGATGCCATTCACGGATGTCCTTCTTCCAAACAAATTTGGTAGGCATCTCGATGTACGTCAGTAAACTCGCTTCTTTGAACTTCTGATTGGCTACAAACCATGCATTAAACATACTTTGCCAAACGGTTTCCCTATTGAGGACATTATCAATCGTATCATCGTCTTGGAAAACAACTGACTGGCAGTCCGGCAAGTGAAAGCTTAATCGCTCAACCGGGGGAGTTCTGTACTGTACTTCAAAACTAAACAACCTCCATGTTGCCTCGCATGCAGATACGTACCTGCAATCATAGTACATGTTTATCTCATCGACAATCTCATTACCAGCTCCATCGATCGTAGCCTTATAAAACTCAGCCGTGACCCGGTCGTTACCCTTGTTTACGTACTTGAATAAGTACTTGATTGACCTGGATTGGTTACACCATTCAACATTAATATGTGATTTGTATTTCAATAGCAAGTACCGATTATGTGGTACAACATATCTATTATCCAAATCTATTCCATTTTTTTTATTGTCCTCTTATCATCCCTCCTTCGATACAATGGGTAACCATCTTGGTCAAAATGCGATGCATCAATGTATCTTTTTGGAAAATGCTTTGAACACTTGCCATTTGCCATGCACGGGGATTTCATTCGGGCAGCACCACACGGGCCGTGCAACATGAATTCTCCAACATGTTTGTAGTATTCATTCTCTGTCACCTTGTCGGGGATCTCGGCTGAAATGATCGTGTCCATAAAGGCCGGGTCAGCAAATTCGCTGTTCGCTTGAATGAATAGTAATATGTGAGCATGCGGAAGACCACGTTTCTGGAACTCAATTGTGTATATAACTGTCAAGAATGTATTTATATTGTCAGTTATACGGTTACTATATTAATTATTAAGGAGAACAAAAACTTCGTTTGAATTTCGTTACACACCTGCCTTTACGCGACCAAATAGTTTCCCATTTTTTATTTCCTTTATTAAACAGTCTAGCTTCATTTTGAAAACACAGCAAACAATGTCCGGGCGATCTTCAGCTTTCAAGTTTCTTTTCTCCAAGAAGCGTTCTATCTCAGGCCATTTAGGATTACATGTAAATGTAATAAAAAGATTGGGATAGCCTAAAAATCTACAAATTGCCATGGCGTCTTGGTAATTTTGTATCATGTACCTTGCTCCTCCAGTGAAACTTGATGGTAATATGATTCTTTTACCTTGAGAACTGGGTTGAACTTCACCTCGCGTCAGCGCATCAGAGAGTCCTTTGTAGGCCTCACACCTCAAAGCTTTTTGATTTAACCGAATATAGAGTAACCTCGAAGATTCAACCATAGTATATGCATCAACCAAGAATTGCTGGAATAACCTTTTAGCATACATTATAGTTGAGATCTCATTTGATCTTTCGTGTATACGGAACGCGAAGTACTCTCTTTGTGAAACACTCTTTCTTGAAAAGTCTTTTTTAGTACCCTGTGTAGCAAAATGTATATCTTCCCTGAAACCATCCTCTCCATACGGAAATAATATTGGGTATTGCAATGGTAAATAAGCTGGGTTTAATTCACTTATTCGTTTCAAGACTCCTGATCTAGACTCGACAATAATATCACGTTGTCCCATGTAAGGGTCTATATCTCCAACAATGAGAGCGGCAACCTCGGATGTAGTTGGAAGCACATAAGTTCTGGCATCTTTGGTCCTCTTCCCTATTAATCTCATTCTTATCTGAGTTTGAGGATTAGATTCAATAAACGACTTGGCCATTCAGAATGACTTAACCAACACATTGTGTTCATCTAGCGTTTGCTTAATGTCGTGTACTACCTCAACATGCAATGTAGAATCATTGTTTTGCGCCCTAAACAATGAAGAATATAAAATATTAGATATTCCGTATTTAGACATGATCTAACTAAAATAAAATTGATTAACACAAAGCAGTCTACCTCAAAGAGTTGAATCGATTTTCTATCTCATTTTCTGTATCGTGAATGTATAACTGGGCAAATTTAGGTTGAATGCCAACTGAAGGGACTAAGCTCCCAATGCGATGAAAATTTTGACCATTAATCCGGAATATAGGCGGTGATGTTCCGTTGTTAATAGTTCTATCAATTTTGCCACCCATGGACGTGAAGCAGAACATGTTGTTGTAGGACCGTATATTCTTTAAAAAACATTTGTTTTTATCACTGGTTGTAAAGAATAGGTCATGCAACTTCTGAGGAGGCTTTGTCATTAATGGCAACTTTATCTTCCCATTGACACAACATGCAGAGTATTTTGGATTTTCAGAGCCCTTCGAATTGCTTGACCGTTCATTGTACCAAAAAAACGAATTACAATGCTCGCAAACATAATCTGGATCACCAATATCAAAATAATAACCTAACCAGACCGCAAAAAATGTATTAGTTCGTATGTAAAATAATAATGTAAGATAGTCCCTTAATACAAACAGAAAACGTTCTGGTCATAGCATATCACAAATGAACTCACCATTATTTGGAGGCGTATTGTCCTGTAAAGGTTCAACAACTTCCTGAAAATCATGCATTAGATTTCGGCAATGCTCGATGGGTCGACTCTCTGGCTCTACAACGACTATTTGCATATTATTGTCATTTGTAATACAACCGTTACTTGCAAACCCTAAAAAAACAATATGTAATTAAACATTATAACTGCATAAATTTAAAAATCTATCCTTCTATCCCTCGATTTATGTTTATACCTATTTGCGAATTTGGTGTTCGGTTTAAGTCGAATGTGCAAGTTTGACGGTTACAGGTAGGTGTTTTGCCGTGGTCCTCATTGACTGTACCGCAATTTGCTATAATATAACATATATTTTAGTCAAAGTTTGTTAGAATAATAATTAATCGATTTGACTATACACTCTTATTACAATATTTATTTGTATTTGTTGAAGTTCATACTATTTGCTACGTTGCTAGACGGCATTCTGCTACTCAAATTTTTCGTTGATGTAGTATGTATTCTCCTTCGTATCGGAGAAGAAACTGTCAAAATGAAGGAATAACGACTATTATTAACAAATAAATGAGAAAGATCCTTACAAAAAAACGAACTCTAGTGTTTTATTTTAATATAAGTAATAAGTATATTATTGAATTAAAAAATTATACCTAGTTGCGAATCTGGTGATCTATTTAGGTCGAACGAACGATTGCGGCGCTTTGTACTAAGTGGTTTATCACGATCCCCCTCATCTCGAGCGCAATTTGCTTTAATTGTTTAAAAGCCACACAGAACCAAAGTTAGAATGTTAAGTATAACATTTTACAAACTCCATTCATATCATCTGCAAAACTGAAATCGAAAAGTAATGTTTGAGATTCGTACTATTTGATATGTTGCTTAACGGTATTCTGCAACTCAACTCTTGCAGCGGTGTATGTCGAATTGTCGTACTAATTACGCTTGATGCTGTGAATTAGAGTATGAAGTTTATGTTACCAACTTATTCAATAAGGATATACACTGTGTTCTAGGCCAAACTTACCATTTGTCACAATACTTAATGGCGTACTTAGCGAACTTTGGAAAACACCAATAAGCGGTTTACTATTGACTGCACTCCGGCTGGATTCAATTGGCGACACGTAGGCTGCATCAGTGATATTACTATTCTCATTCGCTGCAACGTAAACACATATGTCTATCACATATCATACATCGTTCGTTGGAACAATTTTTGACAATAATAACAAATTATACTGTAATTATCCAATGATAGTTCGTAATTGATGTCACTATTGTATTGTATAATAATACCGATAGTTTTAATCCAATATTTCAAATTTTATATTTAACCATATTATCATATTATTTTTTTCATAATATGTCATGATAATAATATTATATAATGATATATCTTTTAACCATAGGTGTTTTTATATAGCAATGTCCCGTTTTTTAGAAATAAGAAAAATGCTATTAATCTTCGTAACCGTTTTATTATTTTTATTACTAATAACCTTTAAATATTAAATTTCAAAATAATACTAAATATTATAATTACAACCAATATTTTGTTATTATAATAATCACATTAATGATTCAGACTAATATTTGGCTAACAATTATTTATAAGAACAATAATAATCAGAATATTAATAATGTGATTAGAAATACTAATAAAATAATAATAGAAATAATCAGAAACTTTTAGACTAATAAAATTATTATAACAATAATAATAATAATAATAATAATAATAATAATAATAATAATAATAATAATAATAATAATACAAACAATAATAACATGAATAATTCAATAATAATACTAATATTAATAATAATAATAATAATAATAATAATAATAATAATAATAATAATAAATAAAATGGAAATGACAGTGAGAATGGTCTCGATGATGTCGCTTTCCTAATCCCTTGAACGCTCATTGTGAGCTCATTTCGCCGGCAATCCACCTGGTTTGTCTCTCTAAAAATGGAGTTGAGCAAGGGTTTAGGGTTCGATTGGTGAGTCTCGTGTACTCTGTACTATGGATTGACAATGAAGATGATGTTTGTGTGGAGCATCGACTGACAAATAGCTCTCGGCATACTCGACGTCTGAGTGTTCATAGTACGGTCAAACAGCCACAAATGGGAGGTTTGATTTGGACTATCAACGCACGGTTCGCTCCGGTGAACACTATAGTCTCAGGATTTCATGGGTACATACAGATCGGACATTTTTGGTCATAAATGTGTGCGATTAGGGTCAGTGACCATTTTTCCGATTCGGTGGTTCAGCTATTCGATTTGGAAAATAATAACAAAACTGGGTATGTATTACTAAACTAATTATTCTACGCTGTTCAGATGTATATATAAATAGGGCTATTGATAGCGTTTATCTATTAAATATGTAGAAGTAATCCGAGTATACAACACATGCATATGAATTTTGCTAACCGTTGAATTTTTAGGATGATTTTTAATTTGCATCGGAGAAGCTAGAATTCGTTGGTTAATAAGTATATTTTTTTAATTATTTTTTTTACAGTGTACCGAACTATTTCTTATAATCTCTATCTATATAGGAAGACAGATAGCTATAATAAAGATAGAAGTGTACTAAGATTTACCTTGGTTGTTGCTGGGATGCTTCCTCTTCGACCCAATGGTGGTTGTAGATGTAAGTTTCCTCATGTATTCTTAGGGAGATGTATTGATTAGAATAAGGAATTGTTTAGGTGGTGTTTAAAACAGCTGTTTAAACTCTCTGTGTTGATTATATAGTTGAAAAGAACTACTCAATTAATATTTGGAGACAACATTGGAAATTGGCCATTATAATGGCTTTTGGAATACTGAAAGGTTTAGTTGTGCTACTTAATGCACAGGGAAGTCCATTAACATAGGTAGATGAATATTATTAGTAATTGCATTCATACTAAACTGGAATTGTCAATTTTTATTGGAATGTAAATAGGTTTCTTATTTAGTTAACATAAACTAATAAACTTTATGTCATTTTGCAGGTAGGCAGTAGTCGGTTCAAGCCCACAAATACTGATGGTTGTGATAGGATTTATTTGATAATGATCTTTGTTTGCGACTGTTGTATTTAGACATGCTTCGGGGAGCCTAAAGATAAGTTTGTGGTCCATCTAATGTGCTTTACAATAAAGATACACACTACTTGCTGATATTGTTTGAGTGTTGTTAAACTATCTAATGTTAATGATGAATTAATTTGTTTAATTGTAATCCTCCACTTGCAGGTAAGCTGGTACATGTACATTGTATTTATGTCCATTAATTTGTGGATGGTTCATAGACACAAAGTTGGAGTACAGAATATTGTATATACAGTTGCTTCGGACTATTAAAAGATAAGTTTTAATACCCTTGTATGACTCAATCTGATCACGCATTCAAATGTTAGTCAAGCATAATAATTTCCTTACATTGTTCGTAACCAAGAATAACTTTAAGGCAGTTATTCAGTTAATTCAAAATCCCCCAAATGCAGGTAAACTACAGATCAAAAGGTCTTCAACTAACATTACTTAAGGACGCTTGCTTTTCACCAAAATTGTTGTCAACAATTGGTAAGTCCCTAATAAGCTGTAAGATCCTAATTAATTTGCTGAAAGTTGTTTTTTAGCTTTAACGGTTGTTGGTTCAACTGCAGGTAAGATGCAACATAATCTACATTGTATAAAAAGGTCATTGAGGAGATAATCAACTGTACATTGTTGTCAACAACTGGTAAGTCCCTTAGTCCTCAATTATGAGTACTTGGAAACACATTTTTACTTTAGTTTCCAACAATAGCTTTATGTCACTGATAGCTGTTACTGTACTTCATTGAAAACTAATGATTTATATATTTTAATTAATCTAGTGTTGATATTGTGTAGTGATAAGACTATTTTTTATATACACGTGTCCCTTTGTTCTTTTTTTTACTATTAATTGTCCGGTAATCTGATTAAGTGATAGAACTTTTTTTTTTGCTTTTATCACACATTCCTCTTCTAAATAATTGAATGCATGTTAATTTAGACAGTTTGCCAAATTGTTGAGAGATGAAATAACGTGGTTCTACATTGCTTTAATCCTCATACGAATATAGTAATAGCTTGTTGAGAGAGCAAATAGCTTGTTGAGAGACCAAATAGCTTGTTCTACATTGCTTTAACTTTGGCTGCCTTAGATGATCTACTAATTTGAATATTCAGTTTTTATTAGTTTAGTTACATTTTTTTGGATGACAACTTGCAGATATGTGAGTGTATGCAACTGTAGAAGTGAAATAATTAACAAAGTATAGACTTAGGGAAAATCAATATTTATAAGTTTTACAAATAGTCATTACAATAAAAAGTAGACTTATTTAATCATTAAAACTGAGAGCACAAAAAATTTAAAAAAATTAAACTTGTAGGTTCATAATGAGTATCCTACACTAATGTTCCTTAATATTACATAATTAGAAAGTGTCAGCTGTATTACATGCTAACATAAACCATTGGATGGTCCTCGAGAATGCTGATTTCAGCTACTTCTAGATTTGTGTGCAATCAGTCTGGTCTTTAGGAATATTCCTGCCAACTGATTGACCTTTTCCCACCATGTCTGCAAGCCTTTGAATTCTTTTACCATGATCTCTGCAATCTTTCTATTGTTTTGCCATCAATTCCTGCCAAAAAAAATCTGTAATAGGAATATCACAAATCTAGAGGGTTTCTCATGTTTGGTACTAAACCAACAAAACCATACATTATGCAAAAAAGTTCAGTCCAGCTGATGTTCCCAAAACACAATACTGTCAACAAAAACCATCATTCAAAACAAAATCAAAAAACCAAAAGAGCACATTGTCAGACATTTAATTCATTACAAATCTGTTTCTTTCTCAATCTTCACAACACTGTCCTTGCTTTTCTTCGAACTTTGTGTGCTTGAAAACTCATCAATTAGCGATCTCTTCACGGTTCCATTCTCAATACTGTTATCTTCGTTCAGCCTCTGTGCAACAACTTGGAGAGGGCTTTCAGCTTCATTTGCTGGTCGATATCCTACACATTTAAATGGTGAACATGTAAATGTAAAATACTTAGTTTATAAAGTAATTCTTATAACATGATTCTGGATCAGCAGTATACCTCTATATCCCATAGGTCCTCATCCGTAAGCTCCAACTCCAACTTTGATGAGAGGTCCCTGTCCCTAACTTGGATTAGCTCTGGTGCGTGCTTCTCAACAATCTTTTCATCAGTGATGATTCTCATAACAGGGAAAGCATTGAGATATTTTTGGAACTGTTCCTTACGCACAGCAATTCGAAATAACATATTCAAGCCGATTAGAGTTTCAAGCTCCTTAGGTAGACCCTTTCTTCCCTGCAGATAACTCAATTAGTTAAAAGAGATTCAGTACTTATGAAAGCTATGCTATATTAATGTTTTTCATATAGGTGGTCCAAAGAGAATTAACTGAATACTTAGGTAGATGCTTCATTTGGATAATTATATATATGTATTTCATGAGATGACAAAGTTAGTAGTACTAAGCTAATGGTATAGGACATGTTGAAATTATATTAGTACCTTTGTATGGGTATCCTTCAAATCATCTGCACTAATTCCAATTAGATCGAGGCACTCCCTGTCCCATAGAAGAAAAGGCGCATTGCCATCCAAGTCCACAACTCTAACCTTAACTCTGTACCTCAGTGTCCCATCACCCCAATTTCTGTCACATGTACTACACCACAGCCATTTCCCTTTTAGCTTAAGCTTTTTGTTGCAACCCTTGGTTCAACACGAAGCATAGTACCACTCTGGATCATCAATGAACACAATCCTAGCTGCAACCCAGAAATCTCCAAACTGCAGTGAACTTTATACAATTAGAGATGCAACTATAATATAATGTATAATTCTGGAAATCTTTAGCTAACAGTAATTATTAATCATCATTACGTTATATAACTAACAAATATCAGTTCTGGTTTTGCAGGTTTGGGTTTATTAGAGAGTATATGCTTGCAAAAAACAAAACACAGAACTGCCACAACAGATGATGGTCTAAAATTCTTATATTAGATAAGTAACCAATGTTATTAGGCTCTATAAGACTTTATCACATTCCACAATTTGTTTTGCTTTATCTGATCCAAAAACTAACAAATATCACTTCTGATTTTGCAGGTTTGGGTTCATTAGAGAGTATATGCTAGCAAGAAACAAAACACAGAACTGCCACAACAGATGGTGGTCTAAAATTCTTACATTAGATAAGTAAACAATGTTATTAGGCTCTATAAGACTTTATCACATTCCACAACTTGTTTTGCTTTATCTGATCCAAAAACTAACAAATATCACTTTTGATTTTGCAGGTTTGGGTTCATCAGAGAGTATATGCTTGCAAAACCCAAAAAACAGAACTGCCACAACAAATGGTGGTACCAAATTATTAAATTATATAAGTAATCAATGTTAGGCTCTATAAAACTTTATCACATTCCACAATTTGTTTTGCTTTATCTGATCCAAAATATGAAATGTAGGCAAAAGACTACAGATTGTAGTTCCCAGTATACCGAGTAGTTCAGCAATGACATTCAGAAAGGACAGTTTTTCCAAATGTGAAGATGCAAGCATTGATGTAAGTTTAAATTTATGTAAATACTACCTCCTTGTCTCTGTAGATCTCACTGATAGTACGCACTTCCATATCACCAGATAGTGCAACTGAATATGAGCTACATTCCTTAAAACTTTACTGCGATATAATACTGCGCATTGGTGTTTGTTCATGACTCGTCCTGTAAAATATAGGTAATACAGAACATAAAATAAGAATTACAGATAAGAATGGACTATAAATGTAACTGATAGTAGTGAAATAATGTTAATTGACTAACCTCTTCCTGAACTCCTCAAAGGGGGGAGATTCTTGGTTGAAAAGCAGCTGTGTTACATCATAGGAGCTACAAATCTTGACATCACCACCTTTTAGAAAATAGTATTAGTACACATTACGCTATAAAGATGTTTTAAGAAGACTTTTTAAGATGTAATTGATAATATAAGATAGTTACAGAAGTAAGTACTTACTTTTTAAACACACCCTTGCCCTACAGAACTGTACCAAGACCAACAATGGTTCTTGTGAAGTAGAATTGTAGAATGCCTCAATCTTGCTTACGTGTTCATCCCACAAAGTACACATTAGTTGTATTCCACTACAAATTTATTGATAATATATTAGAAAAACAGCATTAATAACAAATGATAGAAAGGCAGTGATTTTCAGTATTACTCGGGGTCTTCAAGAGTGAAGTCAATCAGCCTGGAGTTCTTCCCATTAATTAATTTTTCCTCTGGGCAGTGTATTTCAATAACTCGACCAATAACATCTACAAAACAATGGATTAGATGATATAATAATAGTAAAATTATTAATTATTTGAAAAGGATAGACTGAATGAGATAACAGATTACCAAATAGGTGTTTCTCATCAAGGCCTTCAATAGACTTGATCTCTTTAAAGGTCTTCAGCCGATACATTTTCATAGGAAACCTCACATGCTTTAAATCCTTAACCATAGTCTGATAGTTAAATTTTATCATGTACTTCTGTGGGCTGGTTTTGTATGAGTAAAAGTTTGTGATCACACAAAAAATTTTTATAGCATACACTGAACCTTCTGAAAAACAGTCAAGATACTTTTCAACATACTCCTTTGGTACATGAGCATGCAAGAAGGAACCCTGTGTGTTTGTAAATAACAAAAATAGGACTGTAAATATATATCTAATCTAGGTGTATAGATAACATAGATTAACATATGCATCACTGTAAATGTAAAAAGACTGTATGTAAGGCTATTTAAAAAACTATTATAGATAATCTGGACTGCTTATCTCTATCTAATGTTAAATGTTCCTTATCTCTTCATCATGGAAAACAATTTCTTTTGATCTAATCTTCGATGGATCATTCCTCTCAGGAATCTGATATGCTCGGACCACCCTTAGCCTAAGAGCCTGCCTGGTATTCATCAGAGATATTTGGCTCGCAAGTACAAACATTTTGTAGAAGGGAAGAAGAATCAGAGAGTATCTCTATCTATGGAAATTTCGAATGTATTGAGTTGAGTAGCTTTGTATATGGAGTATGTGATGTATATATAAGGTCTGATGACCTTTCGTTATATTTCCTTCGAAATAAACAGCTAGTAAATACCTAGAGAATATGCATGGGTTCATGGGCTCAATCTCCCATATATCCCATAATAAATTCCTAGAGATTATGTATGGATTAAATACATTCTCCAATCCAATTGGATGGGAGAGTGATCAGCCGTAAATGTATTTAAAAAAATAGGTTTTATATAAACTGTAGTTATTATACTCAATAGGGGACCTTTGGTTTTTCGAAGCTTTAACAATAAATTATCCGCCTTTGTCAAAACGTTGCCGTTTCATTTGGGCGGGATTTTTTTGATCCCTTTGTTCTGCTTTAATATAGATAGAGATTTAATTTAATTATTTTTTTGAATTTATATGTCCATCTACTTATTGCAATGTGTTATAATTATGACATTGTTGGGCTTCACATGGTTTTTGAAGTTTTATTATTATATGACAAAAACGTACCTGATATAGTTCAGGTCAAGATAAAATGTAGTACTTATATTTGTAAATGTAATACTAAGGCCCTGTTTAGTTCGCAAAAATATTTGAGGAGAAACAGAATTGAAATTCCATGGAAAAGAAATTAGCGAGAAGATTAATTACATTGGTTGGTAGAAAATAAATTACTGGAAATATCGATTCTATCGTTTGGTTGAGTTTGGAATTGTAAGGAATAACAAGTATAAAGACAAGGAATAAGGGTCAAATAGGTCACCGAACTGCACATCAAAGTGCAATTAGGCCATCGAACTCAAACATAATGCAATTGGAACCCTAAACTGCACAAAATCATGCAATTAAGTCTAAAATGACCTGTTGACCTGAAATTGTGCTGACGTGGCGATTACCAATTTTAAAAATAAATTTTAAATAAAATAATTAATTAAATTAAAAAAAAAATTAGAACTGCCGGAGACGAAAGCTTTGTCTCCATGGTCAGGGAGACGAAGCTTCGTCTCCTGGCCAAGGAGACGAAAGACTGCCGGAGATGATTCGTCTCCGGCAGTTTTAGTTGTTTTTTTTTTTTTTTTAAATTATATAATTTTAATTAATTATTTTATTTTAAAATATATTTACAAATTATTTTTAAAATTGGTAACCTGCATTTCAGGTAAACAGGTCATTTTGGACCTAATTGCATGATTTTGTGTAGTTCAGGGACCCAATTACATTGTTTTTGAGTTCGATGGCCTAATTGCACTTTGGTGTGCAGTTCAGTGGCCTATTTGACCCTTATTCCTAAAGACAATTATACCTAGGGCTGGGCATTTTGGGTTTCGATTCGGTTTTTCGGTTTTAAAAAAATTAAATCATTCGGTTTAATAATAGAGTTCGGTTCGGTTTCGGTTTCGGTTCGGTTTTGGTGAAAGTCCATTATTTGAACGTTTGTTTTTTTGTCTGATTGATTGTTCAGTTGGCTCACTTGGAGTGCCACTTGAAGTGTTTTGTTGATGACAAGATGAAGAATTATCTATCTACATAGTTAATATTTGTAAAATAAGAATTATTAAATCACCAAATGTTGGGACTTACGACTCAGAGTTGAAGTCTGAGGACTTGAGGTGTTGAAATTATTAATTATTATAATATTTATATATAATACTAGCATTTTGTACGCGGGGTGCGTGAAAATTTATGCCCAACATTAAAAAATTGATAAATGCAAATAATTACAAGTTATAGTTCAAATTATATTTCAGAATTTCTTGAAGTAGTAAATTTTAATCATCGTATTTGAAACTATAGAGATGAACAAAATTTATATTTTTTTTAGTAATAATGTAAACAATTTTGATATAATTTATACATTGTTATTACAATAAATAAATAAAATCCTATCTTACTTCCTACTATATATTAAAGCCATAAGATTTCAGCCAATCACATTGCTCCATTTTTCCACTCAAACTTTTGGGATTTTTTTTCTTTTTTTTTCAAATTTTTAATTAAAAAAGCTAGATATCTTGGCCTACAAAATTTGACTCAATTAAATCAAGATCTAATGCCTGAGATTTTAAGTTGCAAAAGTTGAGTAATTAAGTTGTCTTTTCGACTTCCAAGGCAAAGCAGGTAATTATGGTTTGCAGTTAATTATGGTTTCATTCCAACCGATGGTAATCAGAATTGATTTATTGATTTACAAATTTGAAATGCTAAGGCTCAACATTATAAATACATGCACTATCGGCCATTCATTAGTTCATCTCCTTTACAACTTCTGAAAATAGACTTTTAATACAATACAAACACCACAAGATATGGCTCCAATGTGGATCCTTTCCAACGACATATCTCTATTGAAAACAGCTTCAACCATCAAACTCAGATTGGTTCGTACATACCAAGTAGCAGAAAGGAGGGGTAGTGAGTCTATCACATAAAAAAAGTGCATATTTCACGGGTTAAGGTAGAAGTTAACAGTAAGTGTTTCTAAGGTTTCAGTCTGTTTTTTAGTTTATTCGGTTCATATATTAATATACTGAAAGCTGGTGAGGTCAAGATATGATCATCTTATGATGCCACACAACTATTGTTCAATCAAAATATACCAGAAATTGAGAATTTCATGGAATGGTGAGTCCTACCTTATCAGATTATTGAACTCAACAATTAGGCCCAATCTCAAAACTAATATTTTTTTTTCTCTATGTAGTCTTTGTGCTGGCAGACCCCATTGAGGAGTATCAACTCCTTTTCAAGCCTGAGTTATAGTCAAACAGAGTTAGATCTTACCTGTGGCAGAGTGGTTGCAAGTACCATTTCTAATCTGTATCTTAGGAAAGAGGTAACAAGCGTGAGTTATAGTCAAGCAGAGCTAGATCTGGCCTTTTATTTATTTAAAATTAAAATAAAGGATTTTAAATTGAAACAACATAATTATTACACTCATTGTTCCAATGAGGACTCTTCGTTTCTCTAGGATCAGTCCTGATCCAATTCCACCTCTATATAAAGAGGTAGATTGAGATCAACTCTTTCAACCTCAGCTTCTGAATCCTATACGCAATACTCTACAAGAAAAACAAAAAAAATACCCCTTCTCAATATGTATCAATTAAGGCTATCAATCCACTACACACCAAGTGTGCATGGTGGAGAAATCATGAAAAGCAAAGAATGTATATTTCACCATGAAGAGGTAAAGATCAGTTCATATACACTGTCTCTTTCATATCATATACACTGTCTCTTTCAACTAATGCAGACACATAACATGTTTTTTTTTTTTTTGCCTGGGATGTAACTATTACAATAGGTAGCACTTAACCAGTTCTATTAATTGCAACTACTAAGCTTTTGAGATTGTTTTTTGTTGACTGTGGATATTAACTCTATGGTCGGTTAACACTTGGCAAAATCTATCTTGCAACTACTATCCTTTTGCTATTATTAGTGTTTTGTCTAGAGGTGGTATTTGTTACATAGAAGATTGAAGACTTATATATCATGCTAAAAAATAAGAAGTTTCAAGGCATGACAACCTAAAGAAGGAATCAGGAGTTGAGGGTTAAACTTATGGGGATTCAACACTTAGATCTGTTTTGTCTATATTTCACCTATTGCAATTTTTTTTTTTTTTTCGTTTTTCACCACTTGAAATATTAAAATAATGACATTAGACAACTGTAAATTAATTTGCAATAATAATATGTAGATAACATAAACTGTTACTCTACTACTAACATAATCTGATTTATTTTAGCATACTAATCTAATGTGTTTATTTATTTATTTGTTGTACTAATCTGTTTATTCTACTAATGTTTATTTACTAACATATTTGTTCTACTACTAATCTGTTATTTAAATTGGAACTAAAAAGAAAAAGACATGTTAGATCTAAATAGTCTAACTATACTGAATATGGTATACGAGAGATCTGACATCGTATAAGAGCGGAAGCATAGCCGTGTAGATCTCCAGCCACAGTTGATGTTCCTGTTGTGTTGCCTCTTAACGGTAGACCGTTAGCCATTATTTGCCTCATACCTGATGTTCCTGTTGTGTTGCCTCTTAACGATAGACCGTTAGCCATTATTTGCCTCATTCCTGACTCAGAACCCTAGATGGTGTATTAGTGTCTACTGAGCAGTATGAGTACCGTAACTGAATGTGCTAACATCAATCATCCTGTATCCCATCAATCCAGGATTACATTAGGCACATAGTTTGGTGGACTAACAACTTCTAGTTATTCAATCCAACCACACTACTTAATAAGCCTAGTCCACTTGCACCACTTAATTAAGGTCCTAATATATAATATACAATATATATTATTAGGGAAAATCTTACATTCTCCCACTTGGTGCAAGTACTAGCACAACCTTCATCAAAGAACAAAACACACGAATCATAGTGACATGTCCTCTATTTAATCAGAGTAATATCCATTATGGTCACATGCA